AATACATCTGCACTGGCAAGCTTTCCCCAAATATAGTGCTCACTGCTGACCTGCTGGGGGTAGTGTTGTCTCCGTGGTGAGGTTTTCTCTTAGAGGAGCGTACAGGTGTGGGTGTGGGTGGCCCAGGCCGCTCCACCATCCGCAGGGTCTGGAAGGCGTGGTGGTTCAGGCTCTGCTCTGTGAGAAAGCGCTCGGTGGGGTTCAGGAGCAGCATGTTCTAAACCACAAACCACACAGATGGAGCCCGTGAGCGCTGAAGACACCCCGAACATGCAGACCTCTCAAACAAACCGAAACAGTCGTGCTACTATGAATCATCGCCATTATCATAAAAGTCAAGCTGCTGCCGCATTTAATTGTGTCTCACAGTCACCAAACGAGCCAAACAATGATGTGAAATGTGATTTGTGACATTTGCTTTTTCTTACCCAAATAATGTGTTTAATAGTCTCTCTGAACTCACTTTAATGTATGAACAAACTCAAACTAAAATCTGGATGCAGCTTTGTTTTTGAATAACACAAATATACAGTGGAAGCTACATTTTGGGTCAACATCAGAAGCTCTTTGGTAGCCGTGCAGCTCTGAGTTAACGATTAGCAAACAGATGTTATTAAATTTTATCTGAACTCAACACAAAAAAGCCCGATTAGTTCTTAGAGAGACGCCTGTCCTTGCTTAAGTCAGTCCTGAGATGGCATCATCATCATCATGTTAGCGGTGAGTCATTATCTGCTGGGAAAAGCGCAAGAGCACAAGCACAGCCTACATTCTTGACATGGAGCTCCTGTTTACAGTGTAGACAGAGCAATAACAGCAGTGGAACCAGGATATGAGCTGAGAGATGCCGAAGCAGGGAGGAGGCACCGTGCAGTCACGACGTAAACACCGTGATAATGATGCGACTATCAGATGTCTAGTTTATGAAAATTATTGTGGTTAACTGGACGTTTTCACGATACTCTGAAAACAGACAAAAGTTAAGAATAAAACCATTAAAGTTGCTCGGCTCGCCTCACCTTCAGCAGGTCGAGCAGGGCTGCGTCGATGATTCCCAGGTATCTCCGCTCCAAGGTTTGAGGGTGACTCACAGTAGGAAACTGCAACATTAGCAGAGACAGTGGATAATGGTACAGTCAAAAAACTTTCATGTCATAAATAAGAAAATACTCCATATAGTTCCACTTGTCCACAACTTCAAGCAGTTGCTCTATGCCCCACATGTGGATAACCACCTTGATGATAACCACCATAAATAAGTGGAAAATAAGACGCTTTTACTAAACAACAGCATCAAATGTCCTTAGTGATCGATCGTCAGTATGAGAGTATCCTGAGGTTAAAGTGTCTTCCTCTTTTAGAGACCTGACCTTATCAAATGTTAATAATGCTATTTACAATGGGGGAAGTAATTATTTGAACCCTTGCTGAATTTGTAAGTTTGGTTACTTACACAAAAACACGAAGAGCCTCTGATTTTTATGGTGGTTTCATTTTAATGGACAGAGACAAAATCATGGAATGAGTGGAATCAAAGGTTATCAGTTATCAGACTTATGGTTGTTTCTTAGATTAAAATACATGGGGTTTTAGTAGGCAGCACAGTGGTGCAGTGGTTAGCACTACTGCCTCAGGTTCTGGGTTTGAATCCACTGACCGCCTGAGGCCTCTGTGCATGGCGGTTGCATGTTCATCCTTGTCTGTGTGGGTTTTAGATTAACTGGTGACTCTAAAGTGGTTTCACTGTAGGTGTGAAGTGGATCAGAGGAAGATGGATGAATGTATGGATGGAATTATAGTTGAGTTGTACCATCCCTCCCTGAAAAATGATTGCCCCCCTTTTGCTCCCCTGTCAGTGTCACTGAACTGGAGTATTGTTAATCCAGCAGGGGATCAAAGTATAAACAGCACCAGTGGTGTAACGTAACAAGTACTTCACTGAAGTACAGTTCTGATGTACTTGTCGTTTTTTTAAAGGTATTTTTATGCTATACTTTCTTCTACTCCCCTGTATTTTCAACACCACTATACATATTGTCCCTTGTACTCCAACCTATTTACTTTAAAGCTTTACTTATTTATTATATTGCATATTTTAAAATATAAAACTGCTAACGTATCATGCTGTTATAACAGATACAGCCACCCAGGAGTATTTCAATTCAATTAATCTCCAGCTGCAACACTATGGTGTGCAGCATTATTTAATCAGAACCCACTAAGATCACATGCATATTAAATATTTTTATTTTAGACACCTTCATCGTATTTTAAATTAAACCTTCCTGTTATTACTTGAATGTCTTTATCATCTTTACTTCAGTAAAGAGTCTAAATACATGAAAGTTAAAATATAGTTAAAATATGATTGTTTCTGAAGTAAGTTTTCATGCCGGAGAGCACAAGACTTCTGGAACAATGTCCTTTAGACAGATGAGAACAAAATCAATATGTTTGGCTAAAATGCACAGCACCATGTTTGCAGAAAACCACTACCTCATAAAAACTATCAGGCATGGTAAATGGCCTGTATTTGTATAGCGCTTTACTTAGTCCCTAAGGACCCCAAAGCGCTTTACACTACATTCAGTCATTCACCCATTGATGATGGCAAGCTACATTGTAGCCACAGCTGCCCTGGGGCACACTGACAGAGGCGAGGCTGCCAGACGCCACCGGGCCCTCTGACCACCCCCAATAGGCAACAGGTGAAGTGTCTTGCCCAAGGACACAATGACAGAGACTGTCGGAACCGGGGCTCGAACCGGCAACCTTCCGATTACAAGACGAACTGCCAACTCTTGAGCCACGATCGCCCTGTATGATGATGATGGTGAAGGGGTGATGATTTGGGCTCGTTTAGCACCCACAAGCTCTGGGTACCTTATGGTCAGTGAGTCGCACATGAACTCCTCTGTATACCAAAGTATTCTAGAGTCAAATGTGAGGCCATCTGTCCCACAGCTAAAGCCTGGCACAAACTGAGTCACACAACAGGAACCCGATTCCAAGCAAGATTCATGGAAATGGAATGGTCCAATCAAAGGCCATGTGCTGTGTCTGGACCTTAACAGAGCGGATGCGTGTAAACCTAAAAGAACTGAAGCAATGTTGTCAAGAAGGATAAAAATCCTCCACAGTGACACTAATTACTTCACCTTATTGCTAATAAAGGTAGCTGACAAGCTATCAGTACATAGGGCTGCACATGACCCAGTGTTTTCTTCACCAATTCACACTCTGCCTCATTCTTGGTCCCCTGAATGCTACCCAATAAAAAAGAAACTCCTGAAATTGTAGCCCTATCTTGTGAGTTCTTGTTACCTTATATTTTAATATCGGTGTTGTTGTCGAACATCGTTTACTTGTTGTCTCCTGTGACAGGTTTGTTTGTATCTCTGTATAATTGGATTTGGTATTGAAGAAATCTTTTTCTAAGCTTGATTGGAAAATCCTGTAACCATGACAATGCTTTGGTGAACTCTTTTAGAAATGCCCAAATACACAACTTGTGATTTCAACCACGTGCAAATCCTCCATTGTCAACCTTTCATTTCTAATAGAATTTTTCCTCTGAATATTTTGAATTTGCCGTTTGCAGGCGGAAAAAAAGAGTCCAGAAGCCGTTCTTTTTACATCACACATTTCTGAGTGTTACAGAAAAGCACATCGTAGGTGGGAAACGTGATGAAACAACCATCAAGCGTCCTCTGTTCACTCAAAAGTGTTGTGTGGTTTCTTGTTGGTCTGATTTATTTTAATAAAAACAGCATGCGTGTTTCCATCAAACACTATTTCTCCCCTCTCGTGGTGTTAATAGGATGATCTGACTGTGAGCGATAATGTGCAGGGATCAGCGAAGTTTGCAGGATCTCATTTAAATGACAACAAGCACATAAATGTGGAGGTAGAGCTCGTTTTTTTTCCCCTTGAGCGAGTACTAACAATAGCAGGCGCTATTTTTTTTTTTTAAGAAACAGACACGGCCAACGTGTGCCTGTCTTTACCGGTGCAAGGATTTTACTGAGGAACAACAACTTGGGTATTTAAGAGGTGGATAGAAGCTGAAAATTCAAGGTGTAGACCGTAAAGCGTTTCGCTTATTATGCAGCTTAATCAAGAAGTGGTCTTATCACTGGGTATTCACTGCCAGGCATTCACAGAGGGGGAGTTTGCTAACTAATAATTAAATCCTGGGTTGTGGGCAGTGAGGCGAAGGGAAGGACGACCCAGGTCTGCTGCACCACCAGCCTGCCACAGAAGACTTATCACAGCCTTCCTTCACAGTGCATACAGGATACATGATACACGATGAGTCATTGTGATCCATTCAGTCACGGCACAGCAAACTCAGCCAGAAAAAAAAGAAGAAGAAGGAGAAGAGAGTGTACAGAGAAAATAAATAAGGGAAGAAGAAACAGAGGAGGAGGAGGCCTTAAGAGACAGCAAGGAGAGAGAGGAAAGAAAAGCAGTGATAAGAGCAGCATGGAGGGATGGGTCAGCAGAGTATGGGGGGGGGCCTGAAGTTACCCTCAGCCCGTGGAAGCGAGGGTTGTTATAGAAGAGCTTCATCTGCTCTGGTGGCAGGGGTCCCAGCACTTTCTGGATGGTAAAGAGCTGGTCGATCTCGCTCTCTCCCGGGAACAGCGGCTGCCCGTCACTCAGCTCTCCTAAGATGCAGCCCACTGACCACATGTCCACCGCCTTCCCGTAAGGAGCCCTGAGACCGCAGATTTAAGAGGGTGGTGAGAGGCCACGCATAATGAGAGCTAATAAGAATTTATGTCAGTGTGGTGACTGGACAGAGCTTAAAGGGAAAACGTAAAAAAATAGCAGGCGTACCCGAGCAGGAGCTCCGGAGACCGGTACCATCTAGTGGCCACATACTCGGTGTAATTGGCGTCAGTCCCCTCAGAGAGATTACGTGCAAAGCCTGGCAAGAGAAGACAGAGAAAGCAATAGGATATGATGAGGAGCTTTTAGTTATGCTCCACATGCTGAGAAACCTAAAAATGAATTTCAGCTGAATGTCTCTCTGGACGCTCATTATGCTTTAAAGCTTTGACTTACAAAGTAGTTTGTAAAGTTAGGTCAGAGACGACGCCAGATGTGATCTTTTTTTTCCTGAACACTTTGACAGCAGCAGATCCTGCCTTTTGAATTCTTCAGCTGATTAATGTGAGATGCTTTTTTGGCTGCACAAGCATCGAAGCACACCTTTAGAGCCTCTAGCTCTCTTACATACATACAGACACGTTCCAGTTTAATATTCATGTTGGTATGTTTTATTGCCAATTACTCACATAACCAACAGATACAGGGTGACTGCATCTTCAACATTTTTTGCAGCTTGTCTGCACTTTGGCACTCGTGCATTTAGCTTATTCAATTATTTTAACTGTTTTAGTTTGCTTTCCTATCAATTTGATTACAGTTTTCAAGAACGGTACTCAACATGCTGGGAAATAAGTTTATTTCCAATCAATCTGAGGTTTTTTTTTAATAATATGACTGTTACTGTATATTAAAATAGCTGCCTTCTAGGATTTCTAATTATGATCAAATAATATTAAAAAGTATCCTAATTGAAAGAGACTTCTTCATTCCACATTATATATGGTGCAATGGAAATTTATTAGACCCCCACCAAATGTGAGGTTTATACCACAGCTGTCCTAAATTAACAGTATTAGTAATTACCAAAATGGTTTTTGTGCTGGTATCACTAGTATGCACAAGCCTTTTAATCAAAAGGATTCTCTTACTGCTAAAATGTAATTATTGTTGTCATCCATGCATTTTCTAATTCAATGTTTTTCAAAAAGAAGAAAAAATAGTAAAAAACATTTTTAATTTATTGATTAAGATGCCAAATTATAGTTATTTACTTCCTGGAGACAAAAACTCATTTAAGCGGTTGAGTCTTATGCTTGATTAATTCCAGTGAAATTTTAATTCAAATTAGATCCAGTGTGCTCATTCAGATTAGAGTATAAAAACATGAAGTTGGTAATTTTTACCGTTTATTTTTCATGACAGCTGGCATATAGATATATAT